ATATATATATATATATATATATATATATATATATATATATATATATATAGCTATAATTTAACTGTTCGTATACACTTTGTTATAAAAAGCATTTGTTGTTTCAAATATCATTTGGGCGTAGTCTCGCATCAAAGAAGCTTATTTGCTTAAGAATTACTTCTTCATTAGTAGGTATCAGTTCAGAGTGATGAATGACTGAGTAATCAAATTTTCAGAGTGCTCGCTTTGTATGTTTGATGGACCGGAGATACAAGAATGTTAGGTGCACTTTTGATGAACCATTTGGTTGACTTCCATTCTTCACGTTTATTATTTGCTTTTTTCCTGACAGAATAAGAAGACAGTGGAAGTTTTAACTATCGCTTAATGTATACGTTGTGTTGGGTATCATTCTCCGCATCATTTTTCAGTAGCGGATACACTGCGATAAGTATCAGATAATCTCTGACAAAGTTGTCTTAAAGATGATATGAAAGAATCGATCAATATTTCTAAGTGGAATAAGTGTTCCTAGTTCTTATGCGTATCCGCTACTAGTCATTGTGTTTGTTAATTCTATGGGGAAGTTGTTTGTATTGTGGGATGCGAATAAATAAATGTGAATTTTGTTCCCTCACTACTGTTGACGAAATTGGTTCTGACGATTGGGTGTATTCAATTCGTTGAGCCCTAGAACTTTTTTCAAGGGTAAAATCCAGTTGAACTTTCGATACCCATCGCTATAATACAGGATCCCTTAAAAGATAGATAGAGGAGAAGCTAGCTCTTGTACTAATTTCATTTGGAAGAAACCATTCAATTTTTTCAAATTGACTTCAGGTATGAGAAATGGAGTTTGGCCATTAGATGCGCTTGTACTAGATGCAGTTATCCATAAATTTGACTTCACTTTCCAGATTTTAAGGTAAGGTTTGGAGTACGGAAAGTTTTTTCTTATTCTCGAAGTTCATTTTCCCATTGTTTTTTTGCTAAGATTGACTTCTTCTGCAGCTAAATAGTGTATAGAAGTGGAGGATGCGAGGGGTGAGATGACCAAAATTGCTTGTTGATCGAACGGAACGTTGTCCCGAGTAGTTGGTTGACGTTGTTGGATTCGTGCGCGCCAGCTGACGTGAACTATCGAGACTATCCATATCCGGTATCTGTTGTCAAATCTTCAATAGATTAAAGTTTAAACTGTTCACTTCCGTGAGAAATTTCCTTTCAAGCGTTCTTTTATCAGTAGAGATCATGATTGAAAATGGAAGAATATCACTTTCAAGAGTCCATTAGTATGATATAAGGAAATGAATCAATAACTTGAAAATATTTAGCACCTGTATCCAAAATAGTTCCTACTGAAATGCTTCATTTAATTGATTTTAGCTTTGTTCAGGCAAGTTGCATTTTCGGGTACTGCACATTATTTTTCTCGTATAGCCGTATATCTATGTTATACATTTAATTATCTTTTATTCATTTCCAAATAATATTATGAGGAGGAAATTGAAAGACTGCGCTTAGATTCCAAGGAACAAATGAGCTTCTGAAGGGAAAGGTTTTTGGGTATTCATAATATAATATAATTTGGTAAAGAATTCATGTACTGCATGATAAATCGGGATTCGTGTTGTTATGTTTGTGAGCTATGATAAGATTCGTTTTGCCATTTCTTCTATCTTGTAAATGAAAAATGATACATCAGCAATATGTTTAACTTGGAATGGTATATGATATATTATCGCCAGTCTGGGTTTTGCCGTGGAATTTCTTTTTGGTTTGGAAATTACCTCGGGGTTTTTGGGTTTCATATTTTCTCAGATTATGACTTTGCAAAGTCACTGATACTGAAATGGATCTTTAATGGGAAGCTCTTTGTGGACCGCTTGCGCTAGCTCGACACAGATCTGTCACAAGTTTTTGAATTTCTTTTTTGTTGTTTTAAAATATTCATCTCACAGAACTTGCCTTCTTGCAATTTTTTCTTCTACAGTTTGGACATAGCCGATTGCAAAGAATTTACAAGAAAATCGATCTTCATACGGAAAATTTTCGCAGACACTTGTTGGTGATATTTTTAATTATCAATAATTGTTTTACTTGCGATCGATTAATCTGTCTAGCCATCGTTAGTATTTATAATTATCCTATTTTAATCTTCCATTCTTAATTTCTGCAATTTGATTCAGTGTTACTGTGAGATCTTCTCTCATTTTTTTTCCTTTTGTTCACCCTTGTGGTTATTAGGAAACGATGTTTTCCTCTTGTTGAGATTTTCTTTTTTTCGTATTTAAAACTTTCGAAACTTCACCTTTTTAAATTTTGCTTATATAAATTGGCTTCTATATATAAAAATAAAAACGTTTGAAATGGATTCTTTGAGCCATGTTCTTCTGTTGTTTGGTACCACTATGCTTATTAGAAAACAGTCATTCTGCTTGTTTTTTTGGACTCTCCAAAGACTTCAGTTTTCTAGCACTTTTTGTTTTTCAGTTACCTAACCTACACAGAAATTATTTTTGGAGAGATGTACCATGCATGCAGATAGTCTTCCTTGTATTACTGCATAGCTGTTCACGCAATTTGCCGCATGATATTTGCAGAAAATGCAGGAACTGAAAATTATCTTTTTATTGTAACTTGGCAGTACTGCGCTTTTTTATATGATTTAGGCACGATCACATAAGAACTCTTGCGTATTCCTTTGGTTATCTGCAGTGGTTAGTAATTTAAAACCATACCGGCGTGTCGGGTATTCACATGCCTAGTTTATCAGAGTTGTTGTACTGGATTATCAAAATACTTGTAATCACAGTAAATGTGAAGGTTATATTCTTTTGTTGTTTATCGGTTCATTGTTTTGCAATGCTTTAGTTCATCCTGAGTGATTCATTGTGGTATCTATTCATTTACCCCAGTTTCCTCTCGCTCTTGATCCTTACCGAGACGATTTAAAACTGTAGAGTACATTTTCAAAAACCGATATGCTTTATACTATTGGTTAGTGCCGCCTTAGTACAGCAGCTTAAATGAAACTTTAAATCATCGGACTTGAGTCACATTGTGATAGTTTTGTGAATATCCAATGCGACAGTGTCTGACAAACTCTTACTTCTTCAAAGCGGAATGATAGTTAGACATCGCGCGAAAGACCATGAGACTGCTAGAGAGAGTAAAAAATTCTTGAAACACCAATTTTTCTAATGGTGCTTAAGGATGAGGCGTAATAATTCTGTTGGGCAAAGCGGTTTGGTCTTGAGACATCAGTGAGCCCAGTTTTGGCCAATCAATTCGCCTGCTACGTCTGGTTGCTTTTTAACATCACACATTTTTCCCCGCTTTAATGGAGAGTAATTCAGACCGTAGCAACGATGGTGATGCACGCAACTTTTGCTGCATATTTTTCAGAAACGACGTAAGAGTAGATTGAATTGCCAAATTGTAGAAATGATTCGAATCGATTTGAATCAGATTCCATTGAAGTCTCTATTACTGATTCTTCATTACTAACGCTACTTTATGTGGTATCCATCTTGCTGATTTATTTTCTAATAAGTTAGGGATCTTTATCGACACATGATGTATTTCCAAGAAGCTCTCAGATAATCATAATCTGATATTATTGTTAGGTTTCTTCCTTGCTATGTAACTGTTCAAAGATAAGTTATAAAAATAATATAGTTATCAGGAAAGTATAATAATATAGTTATCATTCCGTTATTTTCATAGTGGATTGCATCGCTTTATTACTCTGGTCAGGCAGTGCTCAGTTATAAGCCGCTAATTGATCAATTTTTCTTGATGCCTCTGCTGTATTATGTTTGCCAGTGCACCAATATGTTCATCTGTATCTTCCACTAATTATACTTTCCTAATACAATTTAAAGATGTAGTTGTTTTTATATTTATCTATTTTATTTGAATAATTTGCTTATTTGAATAAGGATGAGTTATCCTTCACTGATCCTTAAGAGCAAAAATTAAATAACAAAAACTGAAGAGTAAAAGTAAAACACTATCTTTTGACCTCATTTCTCCTGAAAGAAATTTATTATTCCTCGTTATTACCATTATTAGTTTTAGTTGTAATGGTTGTATAGCGAATATGAATTAGCATCTCACAATTACTGATGGATATTGCGCTTCACTTCATGGATTTTTGGACTGAATTACAAGTATTTACTACAGTGATCAAAACCAAGTGCAAAGATGTCAAAACTTGCAATCCCATCATAGTTATTGCAAACTTTGTCGTTTTTTTGTGAATGGAAAGGCTCATATTAACTGTTGCAGTTGTATGCAAAAGACCTAGATACACACGAGTGACCTGTGTAAAAACTGTTTACCATTGATACCTAAGGGAAGTTGAATTGCAAATGTAAAACAAAAACAGCAGAAAAAAATCTTGCATTTTACTAAAAGTTTTCAAATTCATACCGGTGGAAAAGAAGAAAGAAAAAAACCAAGCAATGTTATTTGTTTACAACGCATGATTTATGAATTAGTCTACGCCAAAGACATATTTCTTCTTCCTCCTCGTATCTCAATCCATCAGATTTGTCTAATGTAATTTCATCGCAATACACTTTTCTTGCGATGGGTCACATACGGAGTTCTTAAAGATTACTAAAACTCGATTTATTAAAGTAGGATTATTTAAATATTTACTCTATTATTGTTTTGCTTTTAGAACTTGTACATATGTGCCATCAAAATATTCGCAAAATTCGAAGTGTCCCAAAATAAGAAGTTCGAATAAAACATTCGAATTGTAATAATTGCATGGGAAAACTACAACAAATAAATGGGAAGAAGTTGAAATAGTGCAAAGTATACAAAAATTGGTATATTTGTCTGCAATTTACGCAAAAATGGTGTGAAACTAACAAAGTGGACATTTCGTTTTTTACCAAGCTTGTTCTAATGAATGGATAGATGGTTAATATGTTAGTAGTTATTTTATAAAAGTTTGTAACCTAATGCCTTCCTCTTACTTTATAGTTACATATACAACCATCTTTATGAACATGGTAAAATGCATCGTTTACATTATCCACCGTATTTCAAACTAGGTCTTGAAATCTCACTGTGTAAACTAAAACTCTAATTTGTAGTTTATACATTGAGGTTCCAAGATCCTAGTTTGAAAAATGACATCATTTTGTGTGAGTCATTCGCAGGGTCTTCAAGGGATTTATTTTAGGTTGGTTATCCTATTCCTTCTGGTTTAATTAAAGATCTATATCAGTTAAGTTGTCTTATTCGTTATCATATGGCATGAGAAGAAATTAAAACGAAATCTTCCTTTTCCTGAATCTTTTAAGCTTACTCATGTTGTTTCTAGCCAAAAGTTAGATCTAACTGAAGAATTGGACCAAAGAAGTTGAAATTTTAAGACAGTTACTGAAGTTTTTGTTGATATCGAAATACAGTTTCTTATTATTATTGGAAAAACATAAAATGGAAGTTAATTGTTGGTGGCACTCTTGACATCATCATGGCTAAGCTTCGCAAACAAAGATTTGGGAAGAGTTCCTCTATCCACGCTTGCTGCAAATGTCACAAATGTGATGTACTCTTCGTGCCTGCGCACTGGATTTTTGACTAAAGCATAGTGTGCGCGAAACTGGCCTCACTCTTTTTATCCCTAATGTTCATTTGCCAGGGCCTAACGAGCTAAGTTAGTGACAGTGAAGTCCTCAGCTCGTCGATTTAATTAGAGCATTCTTCTCTTGGATAGATGGTATTACAGGGCTGAACAAGTTCCAATCTGTCCAAGTTTGGAGTTAGAATTGCCTTTCTCCTAGGATGGTTACAAGATGGCTTAGTAAGCTTATCCTGCCCGTGCACACACTTTGTCTGACCCTTTAATTAAGATCTGTCTCACATGCGAGATCCTAACGGGCAGCATAGGCTATCACCAGCATAGCTTGCAATCTATCTCATTAGGGCAAGCGTGCAAGCGAAGCTTGCGTGCTTCTCCCCCGCGACAAAGGAGTGTCATAAATAAGCTTGACACTAATTAGATGCGAAATTGTTATTGTTATTGTCACAGACAGAATCGTATGAGAGTTAGTCATCATCTGTTATTTATAAGGCGTCTATAGTGCAAAGTAATCGATCCCACGTTAACTAAGTTCCTTCCACTCTCACTGAAAACATTCGCTGCATATTCCACTCTCACCAACAACCATCCGGCTTATTAGCAGAAATTTTTTGAAAGTTCAACTTCTTCATGAGGTTATATGCTTTATTTTCTGACTGCAATATGCTGCAAGCAGAAGTGTCCCAATATTGTTCGTATCCTAAATGGCAGGCTTTTTTGGCAAAAAAAAAACTTGATTCGAAAGCTTAAAATAAGGTCTTTGTAATTCGAATACGAACTGAGCAAAAGAAAATACAGATAGACTGCCTTCATCGAACTCCGCCGAGACAACTTCTCCGGTAGTGAGACATTACTGCTAATTATCAGTTCCACATATTCTGTGATACATTTTTCGAACATAAATTACTAAGGGTTAAAGGGTAAAAGAGTAAAAAATTACCATGAGTAGAGTTAACAACACATTTATAAATATATAAGGTCATAAGTCATATGCAAATGCTACAAGAAAAACTGAAGAACGATGAAAACATTATCACGTCCATATTGCGCCTTTTCAAAGTAAACTAACTAGTAACTCCTGTAGTTAACATGGAATTTGAAAACAACTTTCTTCTGATTCTGATTGATTAGACTATAATTTGAATTCTTCGCTTTTCATGTTTCACCTTTATAAAATCAAAAATATCCAGTATACTTCATCAGCAGAATAACCTTTTTTCCTATGACATTAATAATAATTAGTATTAATATCACAGAAGAGCTGTGAAATATTTGGATGTCCAGTTTATCCTATCATATCCTCAAAGTTCCATAAAATTTCCAGTTCAAAATAAATGTTTACTTAATGTTTTGCAGAATCAGAATGGTGTTTTGGCTGTTGCTTAAAGTGATTCTAACTTATGTAATATATATTAATTAAAATGAATTAAAAGACCCTTGAATATGCATATATTATGTATTTATTTGCTTACATTGTTTATTGATATCATGCGTTGTACATTGATTTACTTACTAACGACACTCTTTGGAAGATTTGAGCCATTTCACATTTTCTTGTTTCTATTCCGCATTGATTGACATTAATTGAAATTTATTTCAGCTGGAAATTCCTCAAAGATTATTCTTCCCAAAATTTGCTGTTAAATTTTTTTTTTTGCAAAGTATCGTCGACCTATATTAGCAGTGAATGGCTAACTCTATTAGCAGTGAACGGCTAACTATAATTGTCTCTTCCTCGGAACTTGAAGAAAAAACTTCGTGATACTAACTTCATCAAGCTAAAGCAATCTTTTCGAAGCATTAAACCAATTTAGATGAAATTAAAAAAGCTCGAGATATATTGAGAGAAGAAATTAGGCTGAAAAGAATCGCAGGTAGTAATTTCACAAATCATGTTATCATAAAAGTTTCATTCTAAACTTGCAATCAAAACCATCAAAAATAACTGATGCTAAAGTTGATTTTTTCCTACAATTTAATAGGACTTTTTCAGTAGAGCTGATATTCTTTAGACTAATATGTGATTCTTGTTGTGCTAAACTCAGATTATCGTTTATTCCTATCACTTTTAACTGATTTGTTGAATCGTATTCAAATATAAACAATTATCTGTGTTTTATTATTGCTTTTGTTTCACTTCTTTTATGCATCATTACTAATTCCAATTACCATTCTAACTCAGTAGAAATTAACCACAAGTTATCAACGATCGTTTTTTTTTTCCAATTCATGTCATTCGAATTACGTGATATGACTGGATCTTTGACACATTGAAAACTAGAATACAGTTCTTCCGCTTATCAACACTATTTAACTGCTATCTTTCTCAATTTATGAAAGTTTTGCAGGCCAACTTATCGCGAGATCACTCAACTATGTATTATAATGATTTCGAAATCTAAAAAAAATTAAAAATTAAAACACTTCTTTTGGTTATCAGCATATATAGACCTATTTTTGTCAAGGTTTAATCGTCAGGTATCTTCCTGTTATTACTGTAAGTATAAGTACAATCATTTATTAGCATAACAGTATGAAAAGTTAGAAAACTTTATGTTAAAATATGAGGTTAAAAGTTCTATAGTAACTCTTATAGAAGGCGACATTTCGGGATGAACGTTGAGGTGACAAGTTTGAAAGCCAATATGGATAATTTGTGGCAATGTTTACATGCCTTGTTAAAACGTATTGAGCAGTTGGAAGGTACCGCCAATTTGAATAGAAAGCAACATTATGATGCCAATAACAGCCCAAAAAGAATCAATGGTACCTTTGATGAACTCGTGTCACTAAATGACAACAAAAAGAGAAATGATGAAGATGCTGATGTAAAGGTTAACTTTTTCCTGGAAATTTCTAATATTTTTTTTTTTTTCAACCGATTACCACATGCATTCTCCACTTTACATATCAAAGCAATTATTGCTTGGACTTTCTATTCGTTTGCCAAAAGTTGTTGAAGTTTTTCTTTTTTTTCAAAAAAAATTCTGCGCTGACATTTCACAGATTTTTTTTTTCACTACCTGTAATAACTATTCCAGACATACGGTCTGCTTTCTTTGTTTTTTTTTTTAAATTGCTATAACAATGGAGCAGAAAGTTTTAATTTCATTCACTTCATAAGAAATTTACAATCTTTTTTTTGTCAGGATTACACTGCTTCATTGAATTTGTCCTATGCCGTTATGATTGATGGTTTATACTATTTGTCTTATTTTACATCCAGTTCTAGACTCTGATTTAGACTTTTTCAAGTTGATGATTCAGTAATAGAATTTGCGCTAACATTTCCCAGATTTTTCTCACCAACTGTAATAACCGTTCCAGCCATTACAAAAAAAAATGCTTCCTCTCGTCAATTCTGTCCACTTACGTAATTACCTGGACAATCAACCTTTTTCTGTGTGTGTGTGTGTGTGTGTGTGTGTGTTGTGTGTATGTGTATGTGTATGTGTGTGTGTGTGT